ATTGATTAGTGAACTATTACTTTTATTAATAGTATATTTATTTCGTTATATTATTGAGTATTATTGTTCGTCAAATGTATAATATTTTAAACGGTTTATTAAATTTCACGAAAGTTCTTAAAACACCCCTCCAATACACTCCTGATTCAACTAACTCTAGTAAATGATTACTCCCACCCTATTTTAATCGTGTCATTCATAACTGTACAGCGCGCTTTTATGAAACAAGTAATCATACGAAAATTTTACCAAATTATTTGTAAAAAATATTTGCACATCTACTAAAATTAGGAATATGTTGTCAATTAAATTAGATTCTTTTATTCATCAATATTATAATGTTCTATTTTATTAATGTATTTGCGGGAAAATTATGATTAATTGGCAATTTAAAGTTTAAGTTGATCTGTTTCTAATCGCTTCAATTTGTTAACGAGATAAATATGATATGTATAATATATATGTGCATTTTAAATCTTTACTTGCTAATTTTATCTTATGAATATTTATTTGCAAATGCTGAAAAATATACAATTAAATTTTATAACTTTTGTTTTGTTTATAAAAGCTATTACAATTATTTTATTATTATGTTAAATTTGATCACACGATAGTCATTTATTTTAATTAAAAGAAAAAGGAAGAATATAAAACTAAGCTTCGTTAAAAGTTTGACATTCGATTTATGATATAATATAGATCTTAGTATTTAAGTAGAATCAAATATCACTCTCAAAATCCACTTGCATTCGTATGGAGAGTGAATTTTATTTTTAAAAACTTTTACACTCGATACATATTTTTTTTTTAATTAATCAATTACTACTTTCTGATTGAAGTCATTTAGAAGCTATCATAATTATATTTACGTATTATAATACATATTTGCAATACAGTTCAATATACTGCATATACATTTACGTTTTTCTTTTAGAGAGGAGAGGAAATGAATCTATGTACAGAAACCAATAAAAAATGTCAAACACATTTTTTTATCTATAACTTAGTTTCTTCTAAAAAATTCTCCTAAATCAAGTACACTTTTGTATTAACTCTTACTACAAGCTATTATTTGTATGTTGATACATATTGGTTTAAATATTGACCAGTTATTTGTGAGGTCATATTAAAGATGTAATCTGTAATCTAAAAATAAGTAAAAAATATGTTACATAGTACACTTTATTCATAGAACTTATTTATTTTTCACTTGTAAAATTACAAATAACTTATACATAAGTAAAACAACAATACGCTTTTTTCAATAATATCATAAAAAGGTTGATGTTAAAAACTTGCTATTGCATTTGTACTTGTCTATTTTGTATTTCTCACATATCATTCTTACTTGCTCCTTAATGTATGTTATATTCAATAATGATGTGTTATTATAGTAACTTGTTCATAAACGAGTATTTATTATTAACTCAATATTATTTGAAGAAAAATTTGAATTTTTAATTTAATAATAATTGGATAATAAAAAGCTTCAGGCTTTCAAAGTTATATTAAACAAACGCATACATCTTCATGTTTAAATTTCGAAGCATTAGATGTGTAGCATCTAATATCATTTAATTTTGCCTTATGACACTTTTTTCTATGTACAATCGTTTTGAAGATATAGCTTGTCCCAATTGCGCGAGACACCCTGTATTTTACGTATTCCAGAAATACGTTGGCTATAGTTGTAGCTATTTGTAAAATATGTATAACTAGGAACGTCGCACGATAAACGTTCAGTTAGAAACTATTTTTATGCTAATCGTTTTTCGAATCACAATTGATTTTCAATCACAAGTTCTCCTTCAAGAATTGATATTGCTGAATTTAGTACATCTGTGTCTCGTTGACGATGTTTTTCGATGCAACTAAGACTCTTTGGATCAATATCTGAAATCCCGATGTTACAGATAAAACTATGACCATCTGGAAGTTGTATCATATCTGTACAGGCAGACGATAATAATATAATAATATTTTATATTGAAATGTTAATAATACGACTTTTACTCATTATTTACAGAATGAAATATTTTTAGTAACTTACGGATTTACTTCTCGAAATGACATTAATATCGAACAATCCCTAGCACATGAAAACAGAAGATAATTTTGCAAGCACGATATTTCGGTGTTTGTGAGAGAATCCGTTCCCTTTTTATTATAATGTACATTATCTTCATTATGTATTATGTTAGATTCATTATACCATAAATTAGTCTTTTCAAAATTTATTGGAAATAATATTGATCTCGATATAAGAGGAACATTTCCATTAGATATATTAATGTGTTTGTTTTCATTACGATCGCTATCAAGCTTTGATTTTTTCGAAATCGAACTATCTTTGGCACATGTTTGTATGTAAGACTCTCTCAATGCTTCTGTATTTCCGTCTTCTGCATATTCCGTAATAGTTTTCTGAAAAATAAAAGAACGGTTAGAATACTATAATGTAAAAAATTTTCGGCATACAAAAATATATTAGACATTATAAATAAATTTGTATAAAACTGTAGAAAATTGTAACATATAATAGTTTTATAACACAATTACAGTTGCAATAATGTTCTTGTAAATAATCACTCGTTAATTTTTTATTAAATAATCGAAACATACGTAAAAATTTACCTACTTTCTGTTTGAAAGAAGATATTTGATGATCACCATGCTTGTGCAGTTTTAGTAAATTGGAATATATTATGTCATCGGTTAGCAATGAATGAAACTTTAAGTAGGTATTATAAACATATTCTGAAGAAATAAATGGTAGCCTCTGCATACGAAGGATTCGTTCTAGCACCGAGTTATTTGGTAATGTTTCACCCTTTAAATTGCATATCTGAAATTTACAGTAAAATTGATAATAATTTTTTCTTATCAGATTAATGAAAGTACTTAAAGAATGATATGAACTGTTAAAGTCAACACACTATATATATATAGCATAAGTAAAATGATTTGTATCACTAAAAAAAGTTTTCATTCAATTCATAGAAAACATTATAAGAGTTGCAATATATTTACCTTTCCATTAAAATACAGCAATTTCTTGACTTTTGCAACTAGATCAGACTTTATATATTGGACTGCCCTCAAATCTTGGTCAGTAGATATGCATAATTCGTGTGCAGGAGATGTATTTGACTTAAATTCTTCTGAACTAAATGGATGCAAAAGAGCAGCACAAATTAAATTACAGAATTTGTCAACATATTCTTTGTTGGCAGAATTGACAGAATTGTGAAACCATTCCGTTAAGACACATTTAAGACCGTTTGGCAATGATTCTTGATCGTAAACCACAATGCCATTCTTAAAAATTTTCAGATTGTTTTGTGGTGATTTTAAAAGTCCTTTCAGCGCTGATTTCATGCGTTCTTCTACTCCCGAAAAAAGATCAAACGGACAATAAGTGCTACGAGATGTAATAATTTTCTTTTTCAGCTGAAATTACAAAAGATCATAAACTTTCTATTTTTTCCCTTATCCAACTAATGGGAATTTAATAATTCAAAAGATATTATTGCTAGTTCTTGCTGATTTTGACATTATATAGCTGATACGATAAATTTTTTTTCTTTGGAATTATTAATTTTACAAACATGTTTCTTCATTCATTTCATTTTCAATGATACAGTTTGTTTGAATATTTTTTTTGTAACACAAAAACTATTTTACTATTCCAAAACAATATTCCAAAAATTACAAATTACTGTTAAAAAAAAATCCTTATTTTAGGTAAAATTACCTTTCTAAGAGAAATTTCTTTTCAAAAATTTGGTGAAGTCAATACAAATAAATGAATACTTTGCACATAAATAATTTAATAAAAAATCAAAATAGCCAGAATCAGGAAGCTAATAGATTTCACAAAATCAATTAACTGTATCGTTTATTTACTCCTAATGGATTCAGCATTAATTTTTGGCTAATATCACATATATATTAAAATATACTCTTACTGCTCTATCTATGCTTCATTTTTGTAATTTCTACCAGATTGTGATACTTGTATAGTAAGTAAAAAAGAATGATGTTTGACACGTTTATTACTATGAAAAAGTGTGACAGTCAATATTGGCAAAAACTAGTCACCTTTAATAAAAATCTCAACCTAACTATTGAATTTTGGGGGCATCTTTATAAGATATTTGCAGTTAAAAAGAAATCCCTAAATTGATTGATAAATTTCTGTTTGCACATAATAAAATACCCCATAGACATTATTATAAATGAGTTGGTATTGGTAATTGTTATTATACAGAGTGAGGCATCAAAAACGTAAGAGTTTAATATTCTCAAAATTATTTCCAATAACAAAACATTTTACTAGGCAAAGTTAAACTATATTAGGGAATAAATTCTTTGATAGAGATTGCATTTTTCTGCATTTAGAAGTCAAAAATTATTCAGGGTTATCGTATCTTAATATAGAAAAACGCAATTTATTCTAAATAAAAATTTGCTTCCATTCTTGCGCCTCATTCTGTATATGTATACTGTAAAACTAAATTACAGCATTAATTGTAACGAGATAGAGTATTTAAAAAAAAAATGCGTATATAATAAAAGTAATTTTAAATAATATATAACAAATAAATTAATTAAAAGAAA